TTTTTTTTTTTTTTTTTTTTTTTTTTTTTTTTTTTTTTTAAATTAAAAAAAGGTGAAGAAATATTATTAACAACTTAATAATTATGAAAAGAAATTGTTTGGTATTTATCACCTTTTCAGTTGAATTATTGATCGATTCTTTATAAATATTTAATTATTTTATTGTTTTGATTTTTCAACTGTAAATAATTATTAAAAAAAAAAAAAAAACAAATTTTTGTAAATATTTATATAATTATATGACAAAAAAATAATATAAATTAAAATCAATAAATTCTTGTTTGTTTATATATAAATATATATAATTTTTCTCTATTAATTTTCCATAATTGCAAACTATTATACATATATTTATTTATTTGGTTTTATGTTTGTGTACAATTATTAACGAAATATTATTAAAAATGAATTATTTACTTATTTATCCTTCTTCCTTTTTTTCCTTTTTTTTTTTTTGTCTATTTTGTTTCGTTTTTAATAAATTTCTCAGTTCGTGTTCTACTGTTAATATGTAAAATATATTTATTATTGAATTTAACAAACATCTACAAAGCATATAAAATTATTTTTTTTCTTTTTGAAAAAACGATAATAATTAAAAAATTAAATGTGCTTTTTTTAAATAGTGAATTAAAAGTTTCAATGAAAAAAAAAAAAAAAAAAACCAAAAATTTCTCTTTAAATTCTCATCTGTAAATAGCCATCAATTTAACTTAATATTTATAATAAATTACAACAACAATTAAGTCACTTGCAAACTTAGTTTAACTTAAAGTTTTCTTTTGAATTTTTTGTCCTTTTCTCACATTTTTTCTTTTGTGAAAGCCTTCACGTAATCTGATTTAAGTTTTCCATGGAAAACATTTATCTCTATCTCTCTCTCTCTCTCTCTCTCTCTCTCTCTCTCTCTCTCTCTCTCTTGCTCTATATCTATATATTTTATGTATATATTCATTTTTTATGGTTTAATTACTTATTTGGGTTTTTTGATCTCAATTTTATGTTCATTGCGTTTAAAATGAAATTTTGTTTTTTGGTTTTTCTTTTTTTATAGCGCATTATATATACATATACATATATTTCAATTATTTATTCGCCTTTGGCCATTTTTTGCTTTGTTAATTAAAAATTGAAAGTTATCTTTCTCTCCTCTCAAGTCCGCCACTCTTCACATTTTCACTCTGATTACTGATTTATATGGAATTTTCATACTCACCATCGAACAACGGAGCGAAGCATATTCATTTCCAAGCAACGTTTGCAACAGCAGGACATGTAGGCCAACATACGGGAAAACTAGATTTAGTTATTTTCCGCATTTTTTCTGGACAGACGAAGCTTGAAAGCAATACTGACCAACCTTGAAGAAGACCAAATAGTTCACATTGTTCACAATGAGGAAAAATTTACCTCAGAAATTTATTTAACACTTATGTTTTGTTCGAAACTAGAGTTGATATGTTTTGCAGGAAGATTGGCTGCAAAAGTTGTTGGGTGCCGTATATAAATATATATATATATATATATATATATATATGTGTGTTTTCATTTTGTTGGCTTGTCCAATCTTGATAAAAGCCGAACAATTTCGGTACGGGTATCTTAGCTGGTGGTGGGCATGCAAGATTCGTCCTAAGGACACTGGAATACATCTGCGTTATTCTTTGTATGCACATACATTTTTTACTAGGTTTTCGTGGTTACTTTTGAAAATATTTCTTTTTTTCCGTTTGGTTCATTTTCATATTAATATTATGATTTAACGATAATTTCTCGTTAAAATAATTTCCTTTTCCACACAACTTAATTTACACATTCAATCACATACGTATGCAATTTGTTTGCGTGCGTGCATTTATGTATATATATATATAAATATATATATATATATATATATGTATGTGTATGTACGCGTATTTGCGTATATATTATATAAGATCATTATTGTGATTATTTTTGTTTATTTTATTTTTATATATTGATTATTGATTTTTAATTTTTTTTTTTTTTTT